CAATTGGTGGCTGACTAAATACTTTTTTGCCCCACTGTAGTTAGGAAGCCTCTGAGAGGGTTGGCAACTGCCCCATTCTGAGCCCGTTCCCCCACCCCCATCCCCTTATTATGTTCACTAATGGTACTGTACAGGGGTTGGGAAGAATTCCAGAAGTCTATTCCTGACAGTGCCAATTATACCACTTGTTTTTTTTTCTGGAGAAGCATGTTGTTCTGTGGTTTTCTACACCTGATGTTTGAAAACAAGGCTGACGGGCCTCTGGGCAGAGCAGAGTCTGCGGAAAGCAACTCCCAAGCAGGCAGAGTCCAGAACCACCAAACTGAAGCAGCAGAAACTGCAGGGGAGACTGCAGTGGGGAAAGGCAGAAGCAGACAAAGGCGCCCGGTTCAGTCAGCCTCCTTCCTTCCTAGAAAGCCTAGAGCAGTGTTTCCCAGCCTCAGCACCTTGAAGATGGGTGGACTTCAACTCCATGCATGCTGGCTGGGGAATTCTGGGAGCTGAAGTCCACCCATCTTCAAGGTGCTGAGGTTGGGAAACGCAGGCTTGGAGCAGTAGCAACCCCTGGTGAGGTCAAATAGGGCCAGCAAGACTTGGGAAAGAGCCTGAGGGAGCTGGGGAAGCAAGTCAAAGAAAGGCACCACACCTATAAGCAATTAACAAATGACTTTATTGAGGACTGGTGGGGGGGGCAGAGATCAAAGGCATTTTAGAGCACAGGTATTATACTAGGGTAATGATTAGTTCTCAGGCTGATAAAGATTCAGAATTCTGGATAAGGACCCATAAAAATTAGGAATAGAGCTATATAAGAAATAGGAGCATTATGAAATAAAGATAATAGATAGGATAGAAAGTATTCCTGATATAGATATAAGGCAACAGGCTACAGTCAAAGACAAATAACTTATTATACAACAAAACCAAGGAAGAATAAGCACAAGCCTGTCATTACTGAATAAACACCCATGCCCAGTTTGGTGGTTCAAAACCCATCCTGTGTATGAATGCGGTGCTACCTCCAAAAGAACCCGTCGCACTGCTCATCTGGCAGGGTCATCACAGGCAGCCCTCAGGCTGGCCATGACGTTTATGTAATTGGTCAATATCCAAGCAGTTGGGTGGCAGAAGAGGAGTTATCAATATCACTACTTCCCCAGCCAAATGGCCAATTATATCTCAGAAGCGATCTGTGCAAAATTCTTCCAATCCAATTTGCATTGAATGACAAAGGTTGCAAAACTCTCAGGACTTCCATCATACTTGTCAGCTCAAGAACCAGGAGCTTATGGGCAGCTTAAGCTGCTGTTGCCACAGCTATTGGAAGGATCCTGAGCAGGAATGTGTGCTGTAAGAACTGGCGGGAACTTGCCCTGGCCCACCTGCTGAAATAATCAGGGCTGCTATCTGATTTTGATGCTGTGGCACTTGGTTCTGATACATTAATGACTTAACCCCCAGCCAGCATTGCTGTCAGAGGGTTGGTCGCCAAGGTCGCAATCTAGGAAACTGAAGTCACTCTTTCCTCCTGTAAAAGCAGGAAGAAGAGTTTTGGGATTTGCTTCTCCCTGCCAAAGCCTTGAAGTTTATTGCAAAAATTAGAAAAGCCGTATTTATAATAGAAGTAAAGTTTAACTCTAGCTCTTCTTTCTCCCGGCTGTGCATCGTAACAGGCTTCCTGCTTTTTGATGGGAGAAGCAGTTGACATCTGCGCATGCCAACAAATCAGGTCCATCTAAGGATATCTAGCCCTCACAATAAGGATATGCCAAACCTGCCATTCGCTGACCCAATTACTATACAGGTAGACCTCACTTAATGACTGCCCTGTTTAGTGATCATTCAAAGTTATGATGGCACTGAAAAAGTAACTTTACAACCAGTTCTCACACTTACGACTGTCGCAGCATCCCTGCAGTCACATGATTGCCATTTGCATGCTTCACAGCTGGCTTCTGACAAGCAGAGTTAATGGAGAAGCCGGCAGTAAAATTGTAAGTCGCAGTCACATTACGTTGTTTAACGACTGCGGTGATTTCCTTAACAACCATGGCGGAAATGAGGTTGTAAGTCTGTCGCAGTCACGTGATGTGTCACTTAACGACCACGCTGCTTAGCAACAGAGTTGCCAGTCCCAACTGTGGTCATTAAGTGAGGAGTATGTGTAATTAGCTCTGATCAGCATCATCTGTATTTGAATGGAGATGAGGAAATAAATGTACACCTTTGCTTGAAAACAGTCAAAAACTAGAACAGCTTCTATGATATTCTGACTTTATACAACTTTCTGAAAAGCTCTGACTGGATCTTGCTATGCTTTGCTACCAGTACTGGATTTAGCTAACTTTAACTACACGACTGTCAGTTAACGGCTGCTCTCTGCTAATTTTGGACTGTATCCGTTTCTCTGTACCTCATGCTCTACTACAGTCGTCTGCACCTTTGGTCAAATTTTATGTATCTATTAATCGCTAAGCGAACCGAAGTTGACACAACCTGAGATCTCCTCACAGATTTCCAACAACATTTACACCTGGAAATTGTAAATGCCATTCCAAAGCCTTCATCATTCCTTAAGTATGTATGGTTAATTTGGATAACTGTCTTGCCCAAACAGATACACGTATTTATATTTAGATTTATGGAGAGGGCTACAGAACGCCATTTGCAAATGAACTTACAGCATTTTAAATGTCTACTGCAATATGCGTGCCGCAGAAAGGCCGTTCCTTGAAAAAATCCGCGGCACCAGGGGCGGCCCAAGGCTTTTACCAGCCCTGAGGCACAACGCGTCAGGAAACGCATCTATTTAGCCCGCTATTTCGCTGACCGCCAACGACTCTCGGCGGTTCAGAACAAGAGAACAGCAGCCCGGCGAGGAAGGCGACGGCCCTTGGTCGCGAAACACGTCGGAGAAACGAGAAGCCGCCTCAGAAGCGAGCGGGCGGGCGGGCGCCCGGCGTCCAGGGCCCGGGAAAGCTCTTCCAAGCGGCCCGGAAAGGCGCGGAGGCCAGC